GACAAGTGAGTTTATTTAAGGTTTGCAAGATAAACATAAGGCACAGTTATGTGGTTTACTCATTACCTATGATCTTGGCTGAGGATAAGGAAAATGACATATAATAGCTTTAAAACTTTTTAAAAATGGAGAAATTTCCCAGTGATGGTAGTATTTAACAAGCTGTTTTCAAGATATAATCTACTGTCCAGTCACTTGCTTAATGTTCTTCAGTTTGAAGATGCTATTAATGCATAATTTTTCTCTGAATTCTGCCTGGTACTCCTGAAAATTTGAAGCTCTGTGTAGAATGCTCTACCCTCTTATGTATTCGGTGATAATCTAAAATAATATAGACAAATATTACCTATATTTATAATACAGATGGTAACATCAGATGTAAATCTAAAATAGTAATAATATGTCTTAAGGTATTCAGCTTCTGTATGTAACCTGGACCAGCCTATATAATTTTAATTAAAGGCATTTGTAATGGCCATGAGTTGAGGTAAACGTAACAGATATCATGGTTCAATAATGACAATTAGAAATCCAAATTAGAAGTATAGTTTCTGGTTAACTCATAAATTTTTTTTTTTTTTTTCTTGCCGAAACAAGAACAGAGAGTTAACATCGCTCTGTGGATTACTTATCAATTCACTATGCTCTTTAAAACTAAAGTTTTATTTTTAACAACTTCATAACATTTAGATGTGAGTACATCTAGCAACACAAAATTTTGGAGTAAAAACTCAAAATGTTCTCTTGTGAAAGTGTCATACTTTCCTAAATTATTCGGTAGTTTTAAATCATTGTTTAGATCAACAGATAATCAACTAAGAACCTATAAATTGACTGGAAGTCCAGTGTTTTTCACTGTCCAGAAACTCTCACTGTTTATGCAGTTTTGTTTGATTTTTATTTTTCTTCACTTCTACATTCTTCGAGATTTTTTTTTAAAGGGGTTGACTTCTTTCTCCTTTCTTACACTTTAATAGCTTTGAATGTTTTTTTAATAATTATTTATAGATTTTTTTTTTTCCCAAAGTGTAGGTTAGAAGCAAAGGCCTATATCTACAAAGAAGCAACGTGCAGATTTCGAGCTTTGTCAATGTAGGTACTAAATAATGAAAAGAGGTGAGCGGCGGTGCTGGTCACCAGACCCACCATGTCTTGAGGAAAGATGAATAAGTGAAGCAGTTGGAAATACAGGAGGGTGGGACCTTTCTCTCCCCTTCCTTCTGATCCCAAGGCTTAGTTCTTGCTGGCCAGATTAAGGTGGGCACCTCTTTTAGGTGGGATTCAGGACTGACCCCAGGACGCTGCTTTGGCTCGTGCAGTTGTGTAATCTTCTCATAAAGAAACCAGGAGATATGCTAACGCAGAACCTTACTTCTGGGCTGCCCAAAGGGCCGTATCTGCAAAGTAAAATGAAAAATATGATCGGGAAATAAGTTCAGTTTTGTTAAATGGAGACAGTGAGTAGTTACTATGATGTTTGCTGACAGGAATTGCTGCTGAAATCAATGCTTTGAGAGCACTGTGTGGAAAGGAGGACTACTCTCTTACATTCTTGGCTTCATCGCTATGTTTCCAAAGCACTTTGGGTCAAAGTGCTGTCTCAGACTGGAATTCCATCTTTTTAAGATGCCTCTGTCTTATTCTGTCTATGCAAAAGGCTTTTACGAGTTGCTTTAGTAATGCTCAGTGATGTTCTACCAAGTCATTGCTAGAGACACGTGTTGACTACTCTGCTGCCTGAAAAGGGAGAACTGTTAATTAAGGCAAGGTTGCTCAGACTGAAATCTGAATTCTGTCTTCCAATGAAAGTTGGCTCATGTCAGAATTTTCGCTTTTATCCCTAAGACCCAGCATCACTCTCAAAACAAGCACCAGTAAATGCTTTTTCAAGCTTTGAGTAAGCACTCACTTGGCTATTAATAATTCCTTCAATTTTACTCTGGCCATGAGGCACTTAACAAATCCAACAGAGTTTTGTCTGTTCTTTCATTAAACTAAAAATCTAGACCAATAGTATAATATGAATGGAATAATTGCCTGTCATCCAAATTCCATGCTGTAGCTTTGATGCGATACTAATATGGGGTACCTGATCTCTTTGTGGAGTAGAAGACGTAGAAATGCAGCTTAGTCATCCCATTTCTGTGATATTTTCAGGACGTGGACTGTATAATTGACTACAGACATCTTAGCTTAAAAGCCGTCTTAGAGTTTCATGCAGTCCTAGTAATATGTGTGCAGTCCCATGGGCTGCATCCAAGGATTATGCTAATTTTATTAGCAACTCCTCTTGCTTTAATTAAACTGTATAAATTCCCACCTGGTCACTGTTGTGCCAACACCCTTCTTTCCATTTTTATTCAAATTTATAGATAATCTGTGGTTTTGCACTTCAATTCTGATTTCCTGAATTAGCCATTGTGTTTTACACCTGAAATAACACAATTTTCAGGGGTGATTAGGATTTCAAATTGAGTTAATGAGTTTGGGGGAACCTCTGGATCAAAGCAAAGACATAAGTTTCTAAAGTTGGCCAAGTCTTTGTAGGAGCAGGTATTCAAAGTAACTTTGATGTCTGAAAGCACCAAGCTATACACACTGCTATTCAAAATACCTGCAAGCACGTTCTGTATTAACATTTACTTAACTGTGTTTATACCAAGAAGCAGAGCGATGTGAATTCCTTAGTGGACTGTTAATTTACATGTTATACACTTTCAAATAATTCCAAAAGCAAACGTGAAATGATTAGTAATCCATTCACATGCTCGCAAAATGTTATTAGCAAAATGCCTCGGGCAGTATGTTATGTTGACTAAAATTGATAATTCTGTATTTTAAAAATAAAGCAACTCTCCCTGCCCCCAACAAATCTCAGGACCTGCCCAGGCCTCCTGGTCATACCAGTTCTAAAGGCATATGTTGAGCTCAGGGGGAGGGAAAGACCAAAAAACCCACAACAGCAGTGATCCAAGCTTTGCAGTGATTTTGACTCTTCAGAAAGCCTCTCTGAAAGTCTTCTGTGGAGTCCTGCTGTTTGAAATGGCTTGTTATCTATAAAATCACCATAAGAAGGTGATTCTGGCATTTACTACTCATTCTACCTATATAAGTTTTAAAGTGTGTATGTTGCTCTGGAGAAATCAAACCTGGTGGTGGTTCTTCCTTCTGCATAACTTTGTCTCCTGCTGTGTGTGGTTCTGACAGAGCCAAAGCCCTGGCTGAAACATCTCATTGAGGACAAAGAAGGGTTGAGGTTGTTCTTTTTTACAGAGGACCAAAGAGCAAGCCGTTTAATAGTATTTGTCAACGTATCTCTCTTTTGAATAATGGTTTCCATGCCTTACAGACTCAAATATAACACACTTCCTCCTAATTATTTTGTCCAGCAGAGTTGCCCAAAAGTCAACTCCTCAGAGCTTCCCACCAGACTCACAGGATAAAGAACACAGGCTATTAAAATTCAATAAAAGCTGTTGTGATATTAAGACTGTGCAAAAAGTCTATGCGCTAGCTGAGTATTGCTTGTATGCTTGCAACACACTTTCCAGCAATTTACATTTACAGCTATGAAGTAATTGAATAAAGAAATGCATCATCATTTTCTTTTTTAGCACATGGGTGAATTATTTTGCCAACATGTGAAGGGGTGTTCATATAACATCACAGTGCTTTGTTCTAGAGAAAAACAATTACAGTGAATAAGGTAGAATGGCTCTGTTATTGCAGTACATAAGACTTTGATTACATACTGCCAAGATTCATACCAACCTAGTAGTTGTTGACAGATAAAGTAACAAAAATGAAACTCATTTATTTTTTCTTTATTGAGACCTCAAGGTAAAGCAAATTTTCAGTTCTTGTACTTACTACATTGAAGGAACAGAGACTGACAGTCAAAATGTGCCAGTCCAGAAATATAAATTAAACCTAGTTTCATATCAAAGTTTCATTTAGTCTCTGAAAAGGAGCTGTTGCTTGGATTATTTTTGATCCTAAAACAAATACACTGCAGACTAATATAGTGTATCTTGGATGAATTAACCCCCTCGTACATTTAGCTCCTATTTATTTTTCAGGATATAGATCTATGTCTATTCAAGCAATTTTAAAATTTGTTACAGACTTAATTATTTTACTTTTTCTTTGTTTAGTAATAATTTACTGTGTTTGTAAACCTAATGAACATGAGGATGGTTTTAATAGAGTGTAGCACTTTTGCTGAAGGAAGGACGTATTTTGAGGAAAAAGCCCTCCCTCTCACCTTGTGTAAAGAAAATTCTTCTGACTTTTATTGAGAGTTCCTCTAGGCTGCTAGATGCTGCATTATTCCTCGATAAGTCTAACAAATGACTTTTTTTTTTGTAAAATTGATTAGTTTCTAAAGAGCAGATAAAACTAGCTGTTGAAATGGAAAGTGCTAAAATGAGTGGTTTTATCCCATCAAAATCTTGGATTAGTTACCTAGTCCAACTGAATATAATTGCTGCTCAGATTAATGAGGCAGGATTCTAGTATCTCCTCTGTAATTAAACACTTCTCTGGTTGAATACGGTATTAAAGATGCACCAGACGTTGAAAGCTCAGTGGTGAAATTTAAAACTGTTGAAATTAGAGGGGTCAGCTGTGAAACACAAATTCCTCTGCAACATGGGTAATTCACTTGTACAATGTGTTTCAAGAATAGTTTGGCCTATGTTGGGGATGCTGGATTTTTTTTTTTAATTTTTCTTATCTTTCTGTCATCTAAATTTGAGAATTTTTCTCATTAGTTCCTGAGCAAAAGTAACATAAAGTGCACTTGTTTCCAGAATTACCTTTTCTGACCTTTCACAAGATGATAATTGCAGCACTAGTAGGCTTAGAGGACTTGTTACAAAAATTAAGCTTATAAAGTAGCAAAAAATGCCCCTTTGCTTGCTGGTGTCGATTTCAAAATTAACATTTTGGTTCATGTGCTTCTAATAATCGCTGACCCTTACTTCATGTGCTTTCCACAGGAAATGAATACAGCAGAAATTACTTTGACCCGTTGATGGATGAGGAAATAAACCCAAGGCAGTGTGGGATGGAGGTCAGTGAAGAAGGTGAGGCAGAATTAAGTATGTAATTTTGGTGTCAGAATATTCTTTTCCATTCATGAAAATGAGGTGACAAAGATCACGTATGCAGTTCTATTTGAATATTGAAGTTTACAATTTAAATTATAAGTCTTAACCGCTCTGAACACGATAGGCAGTGTATGGAGTCTTTGATCAAGGACAGTGACTTAATGGATGGATAAAAGTAAGGCTGTGCTGGATTCACTCCACTACCATAGCAAAATGAAGCACATTCCAAGAACATTGTCTGTACCATGTTCTCTTTAATTAACAAAGTTAATCCAGAACTGTAGCTTTTTTGCAACCCTGCTTCCGAAGTCCTTCTTGGAAAGCGATTTCATTCCTAAGCTGAATGTATGTTTGCCTGGCAGAAGGAAACCTCAAGGTCTGTAACAGTTCCCAGCACATGAGGAGGCTTTTTTGGTTTGCTTTTTTGCCAGTTTAGCCAAGATGTTTAGCTTTGCTGTCTGCGAGCCATAGCGAGGAGTGGGAGGGTGTGACTCTGCAGAGCTGGGAGAGCAGAGGTTATGCATAGGTATGAGAGAGATTAACCAGGAGGTATTGTCTAGCAGAGGAAATTCTCTTTTGCTGTCATGGCTTTTAGATAAAAAAAGGGTGGGAACGGGCCTGCCTAAATTTGCATGGACTTAAGCAAGAACATCATCATGGTAATGAAGCGCTTAGTGATGCACTGAATGCTTTGGCCCAGCTCCTGTTGTTAAGCACTAACCACCCGATAGCACGCAAGACCCAGTTCTCCTGTGTTGCCTTCCTAGTGCTTTGCTTTTTTAAACCTTGTGCTTATTTGTACTGAGGAGACTCTCTAGACATGCAGTTGTAGTTAAATCTAAACAAACTTGTCTACTATAAAGGGTCTAAAAGAAGGTAACTTTTGAAATTCATGAGAACTTTTGATATGGAGGTTAAAACTTTGAAGGCAAAAAACTTTTGTGACTGAGAAAAGCAGGCTCTAATGCATGTCAGTAACTTGAATTTCTGTGTAATGGTGAAAAAGATCAAGGTTTATTATATCTAACCCCTATAATTTCTTCATTCATTATGGGATAGCAATGTAATACCTTGGAAGTCAACTTCTAGCTCAGAGAGTTTTTAAATGAAAGATTTTATTTTTCTGTCAGTATTGCCTTGGTTCACCTTATGAATAGGCTCCGTGAGTCATGATCTCCTTCCTACCCAGAGAGTGAAATGCAGATTATATTTCTGTAACTGCATGTGTGTGCCTAGAAACACATATACAGCTAGAGCAGTGACAGAAGGAATACATGGAAGTACGGTTTTCATCGGGAGTAAATGTTCTCTTGCTTGTGTTGAGAAGGCAGTGATACACATTTAGCTTTAAATGTACTTTTAAAAAAAAAAAACAACAACAACAAAACCACAAACCTAAGAAACTTGGAACAGAGGAAAGCTATGAGAATGTCCATCCAGTTCCAGGAGTAGGAGTGGAGAGGCACTTGCATATCAGACTAGACCTGAGATCCATGTGTGGACAGCTTTGGCATTCGTTCTTCTCTCCAGCAAAAACATCATTCAAAGTTTGGGGTAATACTTGTTTATTAAAGGTTTGTTAGCAGTGCTGCTGGCCTCAGGTTGGTTGTGTTGGCATCTGCAGGGTAGTTACAATGCTGTATTTACCAACACTTCTGCAAAGAGCAAGTCTTCCACCATGGAGATATTTAAAAACTATTTGGACATGAGCCTGGGCACCCTGGCTCTAGGTGGCCCTGTTCGAGCAGAGGGGCTGGACAAGATGACCTCCACAGGTCCTTTGCACCTCAACCAGTCTGATTTGGTGATAATTGCAAACCAGGCTCGCTGTCTGGTTTCCTTTTCCTTGCAGAAGTATTAAATAAGTGGAACTACATTTGTATGTAGGGGACAGAGTTAAAAGGACATTCTGATTCTGCGTGGTCATCTCCTGATTGGAAAATATTCGTTTACCTTCTCTTTCCAGCTAGCAGTTTGTCTCTAATGAGGGACAAAAGCAGGACAAGATGAAGAAATCAGGGCACACTTTAAACTTACATGCTTCTTACAACTTAAACAAGTGAGGCCCAATGCCCAAAGAGAATAGCTGGTGAAAAGCAAATCTTCAGCCACCAACTCTATTATACAAAGTTAAATATCATTTTAATGTGTTCATCATATGGGATTCTATAATGGGTTATTCTACGAAAATGAAGACATTAGCAATTATCTTTTCTATATTTGATAAATTAAATTTGTTCTGGAAAGTTGTCTGAGTTGATAATGCCCTGAGAACAAACACCACCCCACTATGGATTTACTTCCCCACCTCACCAAGGGAACATTTCAATGTTACACACTAAAAGAAACGTGAAAGATTCTGTACTTGCAGAAAAGTTTTGCAGAAGCCTCTCTCTTCGAATGCTCAGTGTAACTGAAAAATTTTGCTGTGAGATTTCATGGTAAAGAAAATTTATTCTTTGAGACTCTTTTGGGCACTTAAAAAGAGCCACCCAAGGTCGCTGGTAGCTGTACTTCAATTCATCTACCTTGTATGCATTTCTTTGGTCTTTTACCTGCCTGTCTTCACTGACAACTTAGAGAAGTCAGGATTTGGAGAGAAGACAGTCTCAACTGGTCACCTGTCCCTTGAATATAGACCCTGGAAGTGATTTTTTTTTAATTTTTTTTTTAGGCCTCATAGAAAAAGGTATATGCGTGTGTGTCCCTTGCTCCTTTTTAAAATCTGCAGATGTTACTGGGAATTTGAATGACTGACCAGCCACAAAATAAAAATTCATAGTGTGCTGTAATGACTACTCATCCTAGGTAACATATTAGTATTATGGACAGTCTGATAACATTTCTGAAAAAGGTCCAAAATCACAATAAAAATCAAAGTACCTTATATCTTTTCTAATGAGTCAAATAGAATTCATCTGGAAATTTGAATAGAAATAATAATTTCAACTAGTCTATTAGAATTAGTAAACCAGTTTTAGTCCAGATCACCATATAATTTTACTCTTGCTCACCATTTAAAAGTATATGATTATATATTTTTTATTTTAAACTGTCTTTCATTACTCAGAAGAAAATGACAGTCACCTCTATTATGAAACTAGCACTGTGAGAACTATTTTTAAGTGTCAAAGGGTTTCTTAATGTTTGTATTTTTATATTTTTATTCATAATTTTAAATAGTGAAATACTGCTGGAAGAAACAATAGGTGTTTGTTTTTTTAAGGTTCTATGAAATTTGATGAGCAAATCCTGTATGGCAAACTCATGAAGCTTCTAGATGAAGAAAACAAGATGCTGGACTTCCAAGGTAAATAACAAAATCATTTGCATAAAGAAAAATAAGACTCTTTTGAATCTGAATGCGGAGAGGAAAATGAGTAATCCATCCCCTTGATCTTAGAAGCAAAAGGGACATAGATTTTAATGCGAGCCTGTAAGACCTTTTTCCCCAAATGTTTTTGTTTTGAGTCATGTTTATGTGGTTTCAAGTGTAACTTAAGCGGCATGCTAAGCAGCTAAGCAGCTCTCTAGGCTGCTCCACTGCATGTTGAATTCCACTCTTATGAAAGAAGGCTGGAAATATCGTTGCTTATGTGCTCAAAGATAGAAATCAAAATCCTTATTTAAGCTTATAAAAAGGTGGGCTGTTTGTCAGATGTATGGGTCATGTCATGCAGTGTTTGAGGTTATCTATGTAAGGATTTACTCTACCAGGTGAGTAAGAAAATGTTTTCGTAGAATCATAGAATGGTTTGGGTTGGAAGGGACCTTAAAGATCATCTAGTTCCAATCCCCCTGCCATGGGCAGGGAAACCCTCCACTACACTTTCTGTGGCTTTATTAGAAAATACAAATTGATGTTCCATCTACAGTAAAAACAATGAAGTGTAGGAGAAGCGATTTCTTTACCTTAATCTGACATCCTTACTTAGGCTTCACTTATTTTTACAGGCATTATTTAATACCCAGTTGATTCACGAGACCGTTACCACCACAGCCTTTACAGAAGGTGCATGTCTCTTCTCTCCTCTGGTTCATCCCAGGAGAAGTGACATATGAACAAGCCCTGGCTCAGGGCTGTCCTTGCGTTTTTGGATATCTTCCCCTCCTTTTTCAGCAGAGGTGCAAAAAGTATTTTCTGTTCTTTGTATCTGTATGAGGTTTCCTGTTATATTTCAGTTATGCACAGGACCTACTTTTTCAGAGAGACAGAGCGGGCGGTTGCCTACGGCGCTGGAGCTCCAGGAGCTGCAACATATTTTATGACTATTTAGTTTGTGAGCAACTTTGTTCTAGATGAGGCAAACGTTTTCATTAGCCTAGGGTTGCAAAATCCCTCGAACTGGCACTGGTCATATCAGTAACATCTTTGAAACCCATTTTGTCTCATTTTAAATGCAAGGAAAAGAAAGTACAACCATCAAGGCTAAATTTATGCAGACAGTTTAAGTAAAAACCTCTAACAAATTATTAGCAAGTTCTCTATTGTTGCATGTTCACATAAAGCTCCACGTTACTGAGAAAGATTATAGCAATGCTGCAGGTTGACTGTTGATTTTATCCTATAACAACGTAGATTAAACTAAAACCAAATATGGCTGGAAGTCAATGTTCTTTCTAAAGAAAAGATTGACATGAGGTGTCTATCTGCGGTACTTAAGTAGTCCTCATCTATTAAGAGTTATAGCATTTAATTTTCTTCAATAACTTTATCATCAAAATAACCCTGTAGGATTAAGGAAAATGTCCTGATGTCATTATACAGACTGCCCCAGGGTGGAGTCCAGTACCCTTTCCATTAGCTTTCTGAAAGTTAGCTTCTGGGACTCAACATGAGGGGACGGAGAGAGATAACCACCTCTGGACAGTGGTTCAGCCCACCTCGTGCAGACATCTCTTAGTTGATTAGACAAATTGCACCCTGGAATCAGTTCTTCTCCTTTCTTTGACTCTAGAAGGGTCTTGGACAACTGACTTAGACTCAACCATTGCTTTTTGCATGGCTAAAGGTAAGTGAGCTGAATCGCGCCATGTGCGTTTGTCCACTTTTAAGCAAGGGAACCAGGGAGTGAAGGGGAAGCCTTCCCCACCCATCTATGGTTACTCTCTCCTTCAGCTGGGTGCCTTAAAACTTTGTATTATACTACGAATAACACTAATGAATATTGTGAAGATGAACAGATGCTTTATAGAGAATAATAGCAAATAGTGTATGTAGAGAGAAATAAGGTTTCACTGATCTCCTCAAATGTTTTTAATTTAAACTGACCAAGTATGTCTGAACTAAAACCATCTTTTTCTCCCACTACTTCTACCAAACCACCATGGCAAGCAAACGCACTGCTGTTTGGCAATGTGGGGTGTGAGACAGGTTCAAACCTCTCATTCATCCGAAGCCACTTGAACGTACGCGGTGTGCTCTGCAGACAGTGAGGCCGCTAAGCTGCCAGTCCACCGATCCAATTCAAGGGCGAACAAACGCATTAACACGTGTGTCTGATGTGTCAGAGCCCCTCATGTAGGCATGAAGGCAGCAAGGGGGGGACACACCGCAGCCTGCTGCTGTCCTGTGTCTTGAGCGATGCCTTAGTGCTTTTTTTTTTTTCTTAAAAGCTCTATAACGGGTATCAGAGCTAGCCCTGTGGGTCAGTGTTGCATCCCTGTCCTAGCTGAAATTTTTACTTTTCTTACCTTGGGTGAATAAAGTCTAGAAAAGAGAGATTTTCCTGAGAAAGCAAGGCTTGTGTGATCTTCACCTCTGTGTGCATGTACCAGGCTGTATTTATGTCCGCCTGTTTGTGTTTCTCCCTCCCAATTTTTGAACATGTTGTTCAATTCCAAACCCTTTTTTTTTTTTTTAAACAGTGAGCAAGTCTCACAGGTCTGACTTCCCCTACCAGTTTTATGGAAGTGGGCAGCTGAGGAGAGCAGACAAGCATTATTAATGTCTCCACTGAGGGAAAAGCTAATATGGGAGTTTGACCCTTATTAGGCATCAGAAAATCCACAGAAAACTAGGATTCATTTGGCTCCACTCTTATAGAACTGCTTCTTTTCGTCATTTGACCACTGAGCTGAAAAATCACGTAGTCATACAGTCCTAATTAATAGATGATCCCCAAAGGAAAGGAAAGAACATGGCTCAATTTGTATAATTGTATATTTAAAGCATTTTGTCACTGAGTAACCTGTTGGTCATTCTTGTGGTACGTGTTAGTTCATATTATAAGGCAACTTAAAACGCAACATTGGTGGTTTGTTTTTTAGAGAAAGATTTAGACTGTATATCTTTTACCTAGTGATAAAATCTCTCTAACAATGTAAGATGATGACCTATGCATGTTGAAAATGATGCTAGGTGAATGCCATAAAATTTTTTTTCTACTATATTATTGTTTGTCAACCACTGAAAAATTGAAGTGCACTGTTTTGTGGCATTTTAGTTGTTTGAAACTGATGCATGAGCCTTTGGTGATGTACTTTTTTAGCTACAATTTATACACAGAGTCTTCTAGAACCAGGCAGCCAAAATGCATTTTCTATATGGAGCTTATAGCTGCTTTATACATTCAACTACATGCTACATGTAGTATATTCACACTACACCATGCTGAAGTGTAGTCTGTTGGTGAACTTGCCATTTAGATTCTCATCTTGTTACATAAACCACTGCTATCTGATGGACAAACGTGGGAGCAAATGAAGTTACAAGCAGCAAAGCTAATACTGGAGAGATTGTTTTAATCACAGCACAGCATCTGCGAATACGGCCCGTGCTAAGGAGAAGTGATTTAAGCTACACGGAAAGTACGACTCGCAGTGCTAAGTACAGATGAGGCAATGAGAAGTTTGGCACAGATGCTGATGACTTGAAGTGGACAGTTTTTAATGAATTTATCAATCTATCAACGAATTTCCTCATAAATTTTCAGCCATTGTGTCCCATGTGTACAAAGTAGTAATGTTTTTAACACCGTGGCGACTTCTGTACAGCCAGGACATGGAGGCTTTGTTTTGGTCAAGTGTTGCTCCAAGCCCTGTAACCTGTGGGTCTGCTCAGACAAGGAGCAACCTGATGTTGACCAAGTTTCAGAGGTCTCTTTGCAAAGCCAGCATGTGAAAGAATAGACCGACTGAACAACCCTTGAATGAACAACCCTGTCTCATGTCTCTTCCCCTCGAGAAAAGGGTTGTCCCTGTCTCCAGCTTGAGCAAATGAAGTTTTTCCAACTATTCTTAAATGAGCATATGTATGTTTTCATCAAATATTTTTCAAACCTGAATCATAATTTATCTCTGTTTTTAGCAGTTGCCTCCCTCAAAAGCGTTTGCAAATGTTCCCTCTCTTCTTTTGTTCTTTTTCCACCAAAACATGCGCTGATGAGCCCAGTTTCTTCGACCAAAACTGAGTACACTTGAGACACGATTCCTTAAAAAAAAAAAAAAAAAAAAAGAAAAAGGATCTTTTGATGCATCGCTGCATGGTTGTCTTTGGCAACTGAATGTGTTTATTCCTTTTTTGATATATAACGACTGTCTCTCTACACCCAGAGGATCCTAAGATAGGAACGTACAGTCTTCCCGAGATGTAAACTTGCACTTTTCCCTTGAAAGCAGTAAAGCAGCTGATTTATACTGGCTGAGCATATGGCCTGTTGTGTACAACACAGCATCGAGGGTGATGCTGCATCTTCTGCTGTTGGCAATGTTTCCTTTTCCAGCACTTCCTGGATTTTCTCTCTCCTAGCCAAACCTTTAGTGCTACAGTAAATTTAAATGTAAATATTGTTTTGTTTTTGCAGTTAATAGTTGTAGGTCAAATCACTTTTCATTAGGCTTGTAAGATGCTACATGAAGAGATTGTGTACCCTAAGGTAATGGTGTGGGTTGTTTATATCTACTGTACACTTCCCCCGACATGATTTTGAATTGTATCCCGTTGTAATTAGATAAAAAAACCCGCCCTGCTTCCTGTGTGTTGGTGGCACCGAGGTGATTTGAGTACTTGGGAGGCTCAACAATTAAAGTCATTAAACAATGAGTAGTGAGCAAAACTAAAAATTTTAATAGCTTAGTTTTATCTTTCCTTTTCTGGTCTTCATTAGAGAATGAGCGACTTCAAAGGAGATAAATCTTTTAACTGCTTTCATGTCTTAGTATGGACAAAGAGAAAACCAAATAATTAGATATGGCAGTTTCTTGTGGGGAAAGGCACAGAGAACTATAAAAACATACACTTACACACATAAATATGAGGCCAGAAAGATAAAGTCAGATGTGGACAACCTGATATCTGTCATTTCTCGGTGATCTTAATGTGGAGAAATGAGCTAAAATAGTCGTCTTTATTATTTATGACCCAAACTGGTTTTAGTACTGTAGCAGATATCAATGAGAAGATCTATTTTTTTAATGTAACATGATGAATTAAACTGAAAAAAGGACACAGCTTCTCCTTAAGGTTGACTTTATGAATGGGATTTATTTTCATTTTTGTGCAACATGTGCCCTTTGGTTCTGCATATGTCACTGCAGTGAAATCAGGGGAATGATGTGGGTGAGAGCAGAACTGTACCCAATTAATTAGGCAGTAGCTGTGTGCACACACCTAGGGAGGAATCCAGTCCTCTGGGGTGAATGGGAGGAAGATGCAATGCCTGCTGTGGCTCCGCCTGAAACTCCCTTTCAACTGCAGTTATTCTTCCTCAGAATGAAAGCCAAAGTCGTTCCAAATGCCAATTCCTTCAAGATTTACAGGGGACCAAAGTGACGTGGAAATGCAGAGCGCCTTTTAAAAAAACTATTTCAGGAACAAACTGCATGTACTAAATTTGTCCTTGTTTGCAGATGTTGCTCTTGAGGAGTGTTTTCCTGGAAATGGCACTTGGAACCTGAACTTGCCAGTTGTTCTACTGCTGTTGTTCGTTACTGTTTGTTTTTGTGGCAGAAATCGTTGTCTTAAAATGTTGGTGGACCAAACGTGTTAACTGAGGAGCTACTAACCAGGGAATGAACTCCCATTCGCTAAGAGATAATCTGCCACTTTTGTTTCAAGCAGCCCATGTCGCCAGTGAAGGTTTTCCAGACTCCGTGATGTCTGTCAACTCTAGTAAGGCATGTGACCTTCAGAAGGAGCTTGAAGATGAAGTGATTCCTTCATATATCGAACAGTTTGAGAGAGATGTTCAGGATGACATAATTCTGCTTGGCAGCTTTTCACTGGAACAGGTCAGAGTTAAGAACTATAAGACAATTTCATCGCTTGCTTCATAACATGATGCTGGCTTGTTAACCTTGTACACCCCAATTCTATTTCACTGCCTGGCGATATATATGTATTGAAAGGGGATAAGATAACCCATTTCATTGGCTTCCTTTACGTGACTGGCACTTTGCTAAGCTAACAGCAGGACCTTTATCTTTGTCTCCATTTCAATGTGAATAAAAATAGATGTCCTCTGTTGCTTCTTTCCTAAATAGTGGAGTATCTTTGACTGCTCTGTAGTAAGTATTGCAATTGAGTTTCAATCAAGAGCCTAAGCTTAGGACATCTCTCTCTGCCAAATTTAACAGAGGCTTATTCATCTATCAACGAGCAAGTTCGGATTGGAGCCCAGGAAGGATGTATATAACAATATTAATTGTACAGAGGATAAGATTATTCCCAAAATATAAATCTGTTGTGTTTTTTAGAGTAGCAATGTTTCCCATGATTTTATTTCCTCATTTCATAGTCCAAAGAGACAAGGTTGGGTTCATGTTGACAAAAGCACGAGTTTTCATGGCTGAAATGATACTTGTGGGCCCCTAACTACCATTTGTTCCTTTGAAAAATCTCGTACCAAGACTAGGGGACAGGAAGAGAGATTAATTGATGAATATATCATTTTTAATTAGCAACATGAGAACAGCACACTGGCTCTGATGGGCTTAAAATAGGTTATCTGGTGACTGATGGTGATCTAAGCTTTCTTTTATTTTCAGATGAAGTTTTTAGAATTTTTTTCATTGCAGAACTAAACCTCATCATTGCCTTCTGTATGTTGGTGAGGGACACAATTCCCTTCCTTGCTGTTTTCCTCTAAATCCTCATGTATATTTCCTTGCTATATTTCTTTCCTGCTGATCTTTTTGTAGCTGTATGTATCATGCATTGAAGATAGTTTGGTGAATATTGTTCAGAGAACATGAAACGGGAGTGAAACATGAGGGAAAAGGACTTGGATGGTACTAAGGGCCTGCCTCAGGGGACCGATGGAGTAGAAACCTGGGAACAAGTGTGCAGTGTGCTATGTCTTTTCAGAAGACTTTTCCTTATTTTCGTCCAAAAGAAAGAAAATCCTCGTTTAACGTGATTGATTGAGCTGGTCTATTATGAACTTACAGATAGGGATTCAATACTTTATACTAAACAGAAGAGGTCCTGAATGCCTATGTTTTCTGTCGTTCTCCCACACATCTCTAACTTTAGTTGTCCATGCCCTGTTTAGGAATTCAATCATGCTGACGTGGTATCAGCTGTCACATCTGCACCCTGCAGTACGGAAAGTAACAGGAAGATCCCATAAAATCTATATTGACTTCTAAATCAGTGATGTATACCTTCACCCTTTCCTTGGAAGCACATAGAAATGGTGCATTCAGCTGTTTTGATCAGAAAACGAAAGGTGACATTGGAAGTAGAGACTGCAACCATGCACCTTTTACATCATACTGGTATTCAGAGACATCTAACAGTAATGTGAGCATGCTTATTCTTCTTTAATTGACATCGTTATTCTTTAATGGACCATCTTTACTCTTTGATCTGTGGATATACCCCTGCAGCACCACAGTGTTGATGTCTTTCCACAGCAGTTACAGGTTCAGTGTTAAACTTGCTGCTATGGTCTTCAGAATCTGCCAATGCCAACTTTGGGACACTTCCAGCGTTTGTTGTTTGAGTGTATATTTATTGGTTTGAAAAAGTCTTTAATTTGCCACATGGCATTTACTTTTTATTCAGAAAAAGACTCCAAACTCTTCCCTTCTTTCTGCAGATTTAGTGAGTAGCAGATGTACTTTAGCCAGCATAATTTATGATTAGTTAATTTAATCTGCCATAATGACATAAAGTGAGCCTGAAACAAGCTTCTATCAATTTTGCCGTTAGAGGTAACATAATATTTTCAAATGTCAACCAAACTGAGTAATTAACCCTCGGGCTGAGTGAAGGAGTCTAATAGACATCTCTCTTGCATTCCTTTGCTTTGACAAAATGTAAACAAAATGTGGGAGCCCAAGGGTTAAAAATAGCAAGTGAGAGTTTACAGAACACGAGACTGGTTTTATAAGTGAGGTTCAGAAACCTACTTGAGTTGCTGCTGTTTCTTTTTAGGCTGCCAAAAATTCTCTCCAATGAGGCATCTGATTTGCACTAGAGCTTTGCTGGCAGAGTTGGCATGAAGAGGACAGCTCTGTGTTAACAATCTATCCCTTAGTTCACTGCTTTTCTTCTATGCTTTATATCTTTACAGTAAGTGGATGGCTTTTGTTTAAACAGCAGCTTAGTGCATGAGATTCACCATGATTAAACGTTTTTGAAAGAGCAGATACATTCTCCGAAATAATAATAATACTACTAGAAAAGACTTATGCAAGATTTTAGCTCTGGAACTTTGAGCTGCATCGTTACTTATTTCATGTACTGTTTAGTAAATGCAAAAGCTAAGAGTTGAAGTTGGCAGGAAATACATAAGAGGAGATCTGACAGATTCTTGTAAAGAAAGCATTAAGCAGACGTCAATGTTCTGTGAACAAACGCATCGAAGTATATTAAATTTGGAAGGCAGTACTGTTTCCTGCATCCTCCCATGTAGGCCTACAGATTCCAAAAGCCCCAATGACGTTTGCTTTTAATACAGAAAAATAAACTCTATTCAGAGAAAATCATAACTTATGGACAGTGTTGTGGCAGAAGCTGAGCGGGTTCAACCAAGGCAGGGTATGCAGAATGTCGCAGAAAACGGCCTATCATGAGACAATGCAGAGATGTGTGGTTATGGGCAGAATTTGATCTTACAGAGCAGAGAAAAATGCAAGGAAAGACCTGACACCATGATGGCCTAATGTGTTTAATTAAAGGCAAGATGCTTTTGAAACGTAAGAGACTGTGCTGAGGATGAAGCAAACACTGGTGATTGGGGTGAGATTGCACTTGATGGGCCTTTGGCAACATAATCTTGCCAATTGTTAATTCAAATGCTACGGAAAGGTGCTAGCTCTGGGATTTTCAGCTGTTTCTAAACTGGGACAATAGAAGCGAATCACTCAGTTTTGTGTGGGTTGTCTCAGAAGATATTATTAGTGGGGCAATTGTAAGGATCAATACTGCCCTAGAAGTCAAGAACATCTTTTCTATTTGGCTATCTTCTTCCTGCAACTTGGTTGGTATTCTTAACTAAATAGAATTTGTTTACAACCTCCGCCTCTCTCTGCAGGATTCAGCCCTCTGTGCTGGGCGTAACGCTTTGGAGGACTTGGTCATTACGATGATAATAATCAGTTTTGATCCATGATATCAATGTGAATTACTCAACAGCCTCTGAAAGTAAAGTGCAAGTTTTGCTCTTCAGCGCTGGCGGTTGAGTTATAGTAGTAAGAAATGAGCTGTTTGTTGCAGGTGGATAGTAATAAAATGTTGCCTTGCATCAAGAGATTTACCTTTTGGTTAAACAAAGGTTAATGCCTCTGGGCATTAGACCTAATATTCTTACAGGATCAATATCATCACTACTCTGACTCCTTGCCAAGTCACAGAGAGATCAATTTATATGATGGAGTGATCAGCTTTTCTTTGGTTAATGGCAGATAACACGTGGGTAAAATTTGGTACTATGTAAGATGATGACAAATCTGCTCTCCAACCAGGATTTTGATTAGTGGGATCAGGCCTTGGTCATATAAAACATGAATAAAGCATATTTGCTTGCATGTTCTACCCTGTTGGATAATACTGTCGTTTACATCCTGATGGTACCTGCAGACCTCCCCTCATCAAAGCCCACTAAGCATCGTACAATCCCGTGTGATTGCTCTTTATGAATATGATACTTACGGGAATACGTACACCCAAGAGCAATGCAGAGTTGAAGGTGATCTTTCCTCAGCCGAAACCTGGCTACTCCTTTTCGACATTTGCCAAGATTTGAAATGACTGTGATGTTCAAATGAGTCATTTTTTTGTTTTACTGAGAATTGCAGTTCAAGAATACGAAAGCTGGCAATGTTTCTTTTACACTGTGTCTTGAAAGTGGGTGACTTCATTCAAGGTGAGTTACCAATATGCTACACTCATTTGAGCATCAAAGCATCTCTATAGTCTGTTAATAAAATGGTTTCCATTTTGTTTATGTGATATTGTAGGAATTATGGGTATCTCCATTTTACAGAGGAAGAACAAGGGCACAAATAGACTGAAATCTATACCTGTCAGAAGTGATTAGCACCAAATTTCCTTTTGAAATCTGACATCAGGTCAAGTTCATCGAATTCATTATAGTCCTGCCAGGTAGACTGCTCCCGGACTAGTGAAAAAACACTTCACTGAAACCTATGTTGGAGGGAAGAGAACACAAGTGAACTTCCCAAAGTCTGGGATTTTGGGCTTCTGGTCCTTGAATTTCTGACATCTGGCCTAGTAGGTGTCCATGGTCCTTAGATATGTGTCAGCACCCACACAGGAGACCCAAAGCCTGACAAGATGCCAGTGAGTGTAGCTGGGGGACTTCTCTACCCATTAGGCTGGTATCTGAGGTTTCAAAGTAACTTTATCCTATCAGGCTTGCTCCTGCTTCCTTGGTGGGAAGCCTTGGAACCCTCTCAGTTTCTAAGCTTCCTCCTTGTTTCTTCTAGACACTCAGACATACACTTTTTTTTTAATTTTAGCAGTAGAGGGGATAGAAGGGGAAGCATGGAAATGAATATCAGCATCAGCAGAACTGTGGAAAAGGTGTTTTACATGTTTACAAAGGGTCAGTCACAATACCCTTAACAGTGATATAGCTGCTCTTTTTAATTGTAATTCTCTTGATTGCTTTGTTCGGGAGCTATGTGGATTTTAAGTAAATATTTAGATGGAAGTAATGAAAATCTTCCATATTTCTTATATTTTTCACTAAAAAGGAGTTAATTTAGTTTTTACTGTGTTTTTTCATTCTTTAAAACCAGAAGGGAAATTAACTAAAGCA